ATCTTTAATGTACACTATGCTACATTACATTTACTGTCAGTCTATGATAACAGTGTGTAAAACTGTCATCAAAGCAAACAGTGGCTACTTGGAAGAATCCAAAATCTTAAAAATATTCCAGCTTTTCCTGGTTTTGGTTTGGGTTAAAGTCTATGTAAAGGAAATTCAGAGATTTGTTTCTGAACACATAGAATAGTGTGACCCATTGAATGGATGTAAAAGATGAGCCCTCCGTACAGCGCGTCTCCCAATTAAACGTTACATCTTCTATACCCTACAGTTTTCCAGCTAGCTATGCTTTTGTCCAGCAAATGCAACTTTTGTAGAACAGTTTGGTCTCCCTCTTGAAATTTCCTCTGAATAATAAGTTGCAGAAGAGGTGGACTGATTGTGTGACGAGCCACATTGATGATGCTATTTACCACCAACACCTGCCTCTGCACAGCAGGGAGCTTTAAGAACTGACTACCTGCATAATTTGGTGTCACTGTTGGCATTACATGTCTTCTGTCACTGAGTGTAGGTTGCCCTGCGTGCTTAGTTTATTATGGCAGGTAAATACTGTGTATTCACAGCATGTGGCTGTGATTTCACATCTAACCTGCTTGTTTTGTTACAAATCAGCTCATATCTGTTTGCATGGTTAGGACGGTTCATTTGTGCTGCTGTGAAAGCTGCAATCAGCACCTTCAGCAGACATGTAAAAAAAAAGAAAAAAAGAAAAAAGATGTAAAATTCAAGAAAACCTCTTATATGTGTCCAAGCCTTGGACTGGCACTGACATACAGTAAACATAAATTAGGATGTACTCACACATCTCCACGACTTTATCCACGTTGACACTGACATGATCAAGCTGTTTCACCATGGCTTCTGTTTTCTCCTTCAGATCTTTCACGTGCTCCAGCAGCACTGAGGAACAAACAAACAGTCATGACACAAAGGAGGCCAGACTCTCGGTTTTGCAAACACAGCCAGAATTCAGTCCGTTTGCTTACAGTCAGGATCAACTTAAATCAGTGCTTTTGGGATGTGCAGCTAAACAGTTCTGGATCAATCATCCATCCATCCATCCATTATCTGTACACCGCTTAATCCTCACTAGAGTCGCGGGGGGGCTGGAGTCTATCCCAGGGCTACACTTACAGACAGACAACCAAACACATTCACATTCACACCTACGGACAATTTAGAATCACCAATTAACCTCAACATGTTTTTGGACTGTGTGGGAGGAGGCTGAAGAACCGGAAGAGAACCCACGCTGCATGGGGAGAACATGCAAACTCCCTGGATCAATGAAAGTTTCTCAAAAAGGTTAAAGAGTTGTGAAAAAAAGATTATCACTTGAAGGTGAGTTAACTGCTTTCTGCTCGACCTGCTGTATAAAGGCAAAGCCAAAACTAGTTTGTCTCACATCTCTGCAGCTCTTTTTCGTCCTCCATCCTATCCACCTCATCTTCTTTTTCTCTGGAGGTCAGTTCAAACACCTTGTACAGCATGTTGCTGTGCTCCACCTGCAGAGCTCCGGACAGGATCTGGAAGGCGTCATTAAGACGTTCGTTCACACTGCTGAACTCATCTCCATGGCTGTTGGAGTTCAGGATGCGCTCCACCCAGGTGGCCAATGTGTATCTTTTAATGAGCTCCTGTGCTGATTCCAGCGTGATGCGCAGTTCCTTGAGGGCTTTTTCAACTTCCACACAGGTTCTGACTGCTTTCTTCTGCTGGATGGAGCTTACCAGGTCCTCCAAGGCTTTTACTCGTTGTGAAACACGGCGGCATCTCTTCTTATTGGCCTTCACTTTCTCAACCAGGCAGTAGATCTCTGTGGCAATGTTCAGAATGGGATCTATAACGTCCATGGTCAGCTAGAAAGACACAAAGGACATTACTTGATATAAGAATAAAATGGAATACATCACAGCTAAATGCCCATTTATATCAGTTAGTGTGAGCCACAGCTAGCTGAACCAGAGTTGAGTAGGCCTAGCGTAGATGTACACTATCTCATCATGATGTCTTTTTTTCTTTTCTATTTGTGTCATGCACACCAAGTGCCCAACTCTCTTAGGTTTATAAGAAACTGAAACTACTTTTGTACTGATCAAACGAAAATATTCTGCCTTTTTTTCCTAAACACAACACAAGTTTTTCCTAATCATCAAGCCAAAACAACTCACACAAATGGAAGACATATCAGTAAAAAGTGTAGGTGAGCAAAAACAAAAAAGAAATACCCTCATTTGCAATTTCACTTAGTTTACACAACAAGCAGCGCCTGTCCGCTGGCATCTCAGTAACCTGCCAGTCACCGTGTTCCATAATGCAGCTAGTCTTTAATAACTACAATTACACTATCACTGTTGTTGATACTATATATCAATAGACCATTTTCCTCCATTCATTACAAGCATTTACCCCCAATTTCCTGAATATGTCAAAGTAACAAATGACAAATTGTTCAAATAAAATTAGGATTTCAACTCATTAATGAATTTCAAATCAGACATCCTCACAAGTCTATTTTAAAGCCGTGGCCTCTGAGTCAGATATTTGAAGACATATCGCTGCTCATGGACAAAAAAGCAGTACATTTACAGACTCATGTAAGGGCTATTTCAAATTGTATGTGATTAGAGACCTCTGAAATTATTCTGATGGTATTAGTTTGTATTTGTAGAAGACTCACAATATATAGTCCTGTTGAAACTTGGTGCTAACGTGTGGTAAGTTACAGCTACTGAGCCTCTGTAGACTTAGACTGTCATCTAGAAATAACACAGGACAGCACAGGACAAATGTTAAATTCTTGAATAAACTTGAATCTGTGGTCACCTCACCCAAATTACATAAAGTTAAACTTTCTCCTTAACTCCTAGCAGTTTTGAAACAAGCAGATAGCTTCAGTTTTAAATGTGGATATATGTGCCTGTAATACCAGCACCACTACCACAGCACAGTGGAAAAAAGAAGGATTTGGTCTGGGGTCACCTCAGCCAGTGTAATGCTTCTAGAAATACAATATATCCCAGTTACTCTGGAATATCTGCAGACGTCACCATGAGCAGCTTTGGGAAGATGTGACGTAACTGTTTTCAACACTTGACAGGTTCACTACCGTTGTGTGAAGTTAGATGTGTAGAAAATTTCTCACAGAAAGGCCTCTAATGCAGGACTAAGTCTTCAACTACACAAAGAGACAGCACATAAATAATTAATGTCGATAACAGTCTCACATCTGACCTGCTGGCCATTTCCTGAACAACAGTCTTGCTGTTTGAACCACACACCCCGACATCCAGAAAGCAGTCACTATAGGACTGGAAGTGAACCTTCTCTGGTGTCATGGAGGTTTGACTTAGTGAGTGGAAGAACGATTCAGACAAATTTGGTGCTTCAGGCTGTTTGTTGGCAGTTTGCTGGTAATGATAGACAACTACTCTGTTAGAGGTGCCATGCTTTCAGATAATGAGTCAGTAGAGAGTTGTTTGCTGTTGGTTTGGTCAGTAAATATTCGTCTTTGTTCAGTCTGCATAGTGTGTTCTTGCTTCCCTCCCTCAGGCCTCGTACTTGCATTCCAATTAGCAAGTGAGCTCCACCTTAAAAGGAACATGTTATGCTCATTTTAAGCTCTGAATGTTTAGTCTGGGACTCCACTGGAGTAGCTTTGCATGAGTCATTCATTTATCTCGCAGTGCTTGTCGTGCAGACCCTCAGTTGAGCCTTTGTATGAAAACAGTAGTATTAGTTTCTGGCTGTTTAAGCCCCCTCCCGAGAAGCCCACTTTCTTCTGGAAGCCTGTTGAGGAGCAGCACCAACAGCGTCATTGTCTTGCCAGTGCAGAAGTTCTGAAAAAAAAACAAACTAGAAACATCCTAAGGAACATCCATCCATCCATATCTATACACCGCTTAATACTCTGTAGGGTCAGGGTAAAGGCAGGGGACACCCTGGACAGGTAGCCAGTCTATCACAGGACTACACAAAGAGACGGACAACCAAGCACACTCACATTCACACCTACAGAAAATTTAGAATCACGAATTAACCTCAACATGTTTTTGGA